CAGAGAAGACGCTGTCAAATCGCCATGATGAAAATCAACAGAGAAGATTACAGAAGAATTAAGGTAAGTTCCTTAGCTAAGACTATAAAATTAATGTTAGATATGTTACTTAACTTATATATTACACGAACAAATACATATCTACCGGAAATGGCGAGGACAGGTTTGTCGTGCTAGAATGAATGGCCAATTCATTACCGAAACAAACCTCTTGGAGTTTGGGACTAGCACCTGATGAGAGTTCCCTTTCAAAATTAATGACATTTTAACCGACATCTTTTGACCTTTTGACATCTTTTTAAATTATAATTATGCTATAGCACAAACCAAAATTTCTAAATTCAATTTGCCTTAACTCCTTTCTGGTCATTTTCTTTATTAAATTTTGATTTTTGTTCACATATATGCACACACAAATGCATATAATCTGTTGATATTCAAAAATATATGTACTTATCTTTTGCCAATTATTATATTTAATGCCTAGGTTAGTATTCCTGTAGGCTTTTAACTTTGTACAGTATTATTGCTAATTTTAAAACATTATCTAAAATTTAATTTTAGTGGGTGTAAACAGCAATTATTTACAATATTTCAAGCTAAATAAAAACAATGTAGCAAAACTAAATTATTTCAAACCTCCCCCACCCTTATGTTTATTTCAAAATTAAATTTTAATACACATATACACTTTCCAAATATTGTATTTAAGGAATGACACAATAGATATGCAAAATTGTTCCTCAAATTCAATTTTTCTGAAACTTTACAATTTTGTTCTAGGATGCAAAATCTCTCTTTGTATATGATATGAAAGAAATTCAACCACACATTTTTTGCCCACATAGTCTGAAATAAGGTCTGTCAGACCCCTGTAAGAAGATTGTGAAATCAGACATTTGACTTGAGAATGAGTCTTATTTTAGAATCATCAATTGATCTATTGCAAATTTGTGCAATACTTTTAATAAAGATAACCTTTTTGTTACTTTAAATCAGTAAATCATATTGAAACTGGAAAATCTGAGTAAAATATTAAGTAAAAATAGAACATACATAGCGTAGGAATTGTAAATTCACATGTAAATATCCGACAGTTTAAAGTTTCTTAAGAGCAAATGTATAATTCAATTTTTACAAAAAATCAACAGAATAATTCAGATGGGTCCTAAAATAAAATCTGTAAAAATAAAGAAAATTGAATCAGTGGTTTCAGATATTTTGGCTATTAAAAAAATTTCAATAGCAAAAAAACTTAAAGATTCAGTAGATGACGTCACAATATTTGACCTTTGATCTCTTGATATGACCTTGACCTTTGTAGTACATAAAGAATGGAGACTCCTGATGTATGTGTCCAACTATCAGCTCTCTACTATACATGGAACAAAAGTTACACTGCATTTTATAACAGACTGTTACTTGCTTGTTTATTACACTTACGAGGGCCGTTCAAAAATTACGCGGACTTGCTGCACAGAAAAAATATTTGACGACATAATCGGGCAAAATGTCGCACATAATATAAAAAAATCTTTACTTATATGGTCTACAAAATTTCATATCAAAATGTTGTAAATTGGTATCAATTTTTAGTGATTCTTCAGGACATATCAATAAGTCACGGAGCAGCAATATATTCGACGTCACAGACATCATAAAAAAATATGTGATTGAGCTTTCATTTTCTCAACATTTTCCCAAGAGTATCTGTACAGTTTGAGTTATCTTATCTACTCAACATCCAAACACCATTTCTTGTCAAGCTTTAAATCTATTAAACAAGTAAAGAATATTCTTTTTTTGTTTTAAAACCAAAAAACTTCAGGTATTTATGAAATATAGTGTGATATTGGTGACTCTCAATCACGTTCTTTACAGTCCGGATCAAGTTTTCATCGATAAATCTTCTTCCCGTCCTCCCGTATAGCCATATTTCAGAGGTCTAATGGTCTAAAATTCTTATTTGCTATTTGTGGACGAATGTCACGAATACCCTAGTTTACTACATGTTTTAATATTCATATTTTGGATCTATGTTGGTGATATCTCGAGCATTACACATAATTTAACTAAAGTGTGGTGCGCCGTCATTACACGAGACGTCATTTTCACAGTCGTTTTCACGGGAATCGCATCAGAGGAAAATCATTTTATTTCTGTTAGTACTTCAAATATCACGCCAGAAATCCAAATACACAATAATAGAACGATTTAAAGACACATTTGAGAAAATTGTCGAAAAATATTGCGAATTATAGAAAATAAATGAGTTAAATTTTGAATTCCGCATGCTTTTGCTTCAGATTTTTTGTCGTGCTCCGTACCTCTCCATCAGCGATATCAACATACCGATAATTTTCGTAGAATGTTTTTAAAATACAGGAATTTTGCCCAAAATTTATTGGAATCTTTGAGATACATATTTCTGTGAAATTTCATAACTCTATGACGTCTGTAAGAGTAAATAATAGCACAGTCCGCGTAATTTTTGAACGGCCCTCGTAGATAGCGTAAACGCATTCCAAAATGTAAGCTCCCAAGTGACCAATATATAGAATTCTCTGATTTTTCACAAAATATGACGCAAAGATGCCAAAGCTTATTATTTTTCTTCCAGGGATCATTCATTGTTGACAATATAGTAATATTATTCTTTTTTTTTCTCCAATACTTTTTAAGAAATGGGTTAAATAAAATCCACAGGTGTTTTGTCCTACCTAATCCCCCTTCTTATTTTAATTTATATTTAATTTTTAATTTATCTTCAAAGTTATTGAACAAAATCATCCCCTTTTTTGTTGCTATTTGCAATTTTCCTCACCTCATCCTTATTTTCTCTTTATTATGTTGACATTTAACTACATGTATGGTCGACCACCAAAGAATGATTGTAGCAACACGGTGGTTTATTTATTTATTTTTAGAAAATAATTAGTAGATGTACTACGTACGTATGTCTGCACGATCATACATTTTATATATATACACCGCTAACTTGCCATCTTCGTACCGATTTTTTGTTTTTAAAAACGCTTTTTATTTCTTTTGTAAGGCACAAATGTCCCCTTTATGAAAATCAGAAAATTTTATTTAAAGTCAGATTTAAAATCAAATAAGGTCTGTAGAGCTTTTGAAAGACATAATTAGTAATAATAATACATATACATAAAGTACATCAATGACAATTTACATGTACACATTTAACGCAGTTAAATTACAATGGCATGTTATTGCATTGCAAAAAGTCTTTGACAGTTTGTCGATTGTGACGCAATTTTCTTTTTAAAATGACGCATGTTAGGAATTAATATATGTAAAAATGATGAATTATTACATTTTACTCTGGAAAATAGAATTAATTTTAGCCTTGCATATTTCAACACATAAAAACACTCTTAATCTATTTATGAATTCATCCTTTATTTTTTAATTACATATCAATGAAAACTTTTATGGACAAAACAGGCTTCAATGTATATTTCATTTATTCTGCATACTTATGAAGATATTTTTTGCTTGTTTGTAGTTTGATAATGTAAAAGTGGTAAGCTTTATACGTTAAATCCCATAGCGACTTCAACAAACCTGCTATCTACCTAAAAAGCAATGTCAGTCGAATCAATGATAAGATGAAGAAGTATTATTTCTAAAATCTTATAATTATACCTAGAATGAAAAAAGGAAAGTACTCTTGAATGTTTCTGAATTGAGACATTGTCTATCAATTTTGAATTAAAGAAACAAATATTAAGATTATCTTTGATGTTGAGCATTGCTGAGTCACACCCTGACTTTCAGGCAATGTTCTTGTCACTATTCATGTAACATTTGTTTGTTTTCATGTTTAGTTGTGTTTAACACTATCCGTGATAAAATCTGAGCCTATATAAACCCTGTATACTCTTTTGCTTTCACATCCAACCTTCAAAGTACCGAAAGCCTACATCTCTTTCCAGTTTCAGCTTCCTCCAACAATCCACCATGACGAGGACTCTGGCTATCCTAGTACTCTTGTTTGGAGTGTCACTTGCTCTCTTCAATGGTAAATACTCTTTGTTCTTCCTATTAAATCTCAATATACACGTTTTTAGCTTAATTGCAATGAATTCAATTCTTTTTATCAATTAATCAACAGTTTTCACTTGTAATCCTTAACATTGTTGAGGCAACGGTTATACAAATCTTTCCTATTGCTTTAGACAGGTTTTTTGTTTTAGACAAAAAAGTCATATTTATTTTCCTGTATTCGAAAAAAGAATACTTTTTATGGAGATTTTTCAAAGCATAAAACTTTGATTTTTTAATAAATAATGATAGAAAACAAATTTCCAATTTCTGTTACAAAAATTACCAAATGTTATTTACTTGACGTTTGGTTTTATTTCTTTTTAGAAACCTTTATTACAGGGTGTTTAACATAGTGTAAAATATCTTAGAAGAAAACGGTATGAGTTAAGAATTTTATCTATTGCTGGTATTTATGTTAAGGTATGAATAGAAATGGTTTCAACAACAATGGGTTTAATAATAATGGTTGGAACAACAATGGGTTTAATAATGGTTGGAACAACAACGGTTGGAATAACAATGGTTGGAATGGTTGGAATAACAACGGTTGGAATAACAATGGTTGGAATAACAATGGCTGGAACAATAATGGCATGGGGAGAATGATGTACGGCTAGGGAAATTGAGAGCATTGATAACAAACAAATAAAGGTGAGTGAAAGAGTTAAACTGATATAAAATTGAATATTGTTCTCAGATATTAATATCATCTTATTCTTATATTTCTTATTTTATATTTCTAGGTTGTTCTACAGAGTCTTCAAAGTGTTCAAAAAGATTAATTCTGAATAAATGATTTCAAATTTCTTCGTGATCTTTTTTTAATAATAGATATAATCAGTAATCATTTATGAAATTTGGAGAAAACAAACAGTTATCAAGTTCAAAAGAATGTTTTTGTAGCAGAGCAAACGCGAAACTCTTAAAACATCAAATTTGAAATCAGGTACCACGGAGAGGTCAGCATCCCCTACCGACCGATCACAAGCGTTCTGTGCTCGTTGTTATGATAAGGTAAAAGAAATATCCGTAGACAATTCAGAGTGCAAACAATACCAAACTATTTATATAAAAAAACATCAGTTATCATTCGACTTATATATTCTGATTGCACACAAGTACTCTGAAGTTGACATCAAAAAGATGCATGAGTTTCTGAATTTTCTAATTTCTAAGAATTTTCTTAGGTATATGCTTAAATTCTTTAAGCATATTCTTAGCTGAGTAACATGCTTAATTTCTGTTGCATAAAAATTCTAAGCAATATGCTTAGCAATTCTTAGCTAAGCATATCGCAATCTGCTTTAGTACAATGTTGTCATCTCAATAAAGCCACTTCCACTTTCACTTGAATGTAATCATGTGATAAACAAGCAAAGAAACAATATTATAAAAAATGTTGTTCATATTTATTTTTAAAATTATTCACTTTCCTCTTATAACTATTTGTTTTAATATTTTGACCACTTTAATAGATAAAAATATTTTGATTTATATTGATGACATGTTTAATTATCATCTTCTAAGAGAGAGAGAAAGAGAGAAAGAGAGAGAGAGAGAGAGAAACTGAAGGATGTAGAAAAATATTGCATACTTTAGAGGAAGAGTGAATCAAATTAATTTTTTAATTAAATCGTTTTTTTTTATCAGAAGGCATATATGGTATACACTTTTTCCAAAATGAATTTAGGTTTCCTTACGAATGTTTGTATATAATATGTGTGGCACTTTTCTAAATACACAGTCATTTCTCTCTCTCTCTCTCTCTCTTCTCTTGAGATGTCAATTGAATGAAAATTACGTGTGTAATACGAGATACATGTAAATATGGAATACATGTAAATATGCGATACATGTAAATCGAATTCTTCTCATAATGTAAGAATGATTTAACATAACTTGAAGTACACTGGTGATCTCAAAAAGGGTGACTGCATTGTCACAGCTGCTGTCAAAACTACACAACAATCAATTGACTTCATATTTTAAACCCTTTTAATATGAAATTGCGAGCGTCTAGAAAAGTCTATAAAGCCACATAATAAAGTCGATGCATGCAAATTGTGATTTCTTTCATTGATCATTGTTTTGTATTTAATTTTTGTAAAGTTCCTTTCATTGTTCTGTGTAATTAGCTCTTAGAAATATCTTGAGCAATATGCTTAAAAACTTAAGACAGGTATAGACCATGCTTAACTTTAAGCATATGCTGAGCATATACTTAAGAGTTGAGAAGTTTTATGCAACATGCTAAGCAATTTGCTAAGTAAAATTCCAATCTGCTAAGCAGATAAACAGTACTTAAGTATATACTTAAGGACTTATGAATTTTTATGCATATGAACCAACAACAATACAGGTGTTCCGCTTCCTTGTGAAAGATAAGACAATATGTTTTGTTGTATGTGTCTCTAAAATGCAGTGAGCACATTAAAAGAGTGGAGTGGAAATAAAGTAAGATAACTATCGTCAACACACAATAACTCATTTAATGCATGCAAATTGGAAGTTGTCTTTCTTTGAACAAAATATTCAATGCAGATTTAAAGTTTTGCTGCTTGACTAATTATATAATCATAAATGAATTAGAGCAATTGAGAAAATTTAATTATTATATAGCTTTAATGAGTCTTCAATCCAAGGCAACTTTTAGTGACGTGTACGGTTCAACTGAGTATATCGAATTTTCTGATCTCTCAAATATTTTTATTTAAGCATGCAATTTAATATTCATATTTTGAAGAGGTGCATATATTTTTTAAATATACTTTTATTAATCTTGGGGGTGTATTCTTGAAATAAAGCCTTAAGACAAATACAAAAAGTTAAGCACTTATATATCCTATCTTTCCAATCTACATTTTAATTTTAGATTCGATCCCAATAAAACTGTACATTTTTTTTTTACAAAAATTCACAATAATCCCTAAAAATTAAAGCTAGCCTTTTGGTAAAAGTCCTTCCAGGAGAAACAGGAACTTGAGATGTGTCGAAGGTGAGCACAATTAAAGGAGAGAGGAGTGCGCTGTTTGAT